TCCCTCAAGTTTAAGAACCATCAATGTTTCGTGGCATTTTAGTTCTGCTCGAAGCAAGGAACCTAAAAGGACAAGGAAAACAAGTTTTCTCTCTCTCTTAGTTTATGCACATTCTTAACCAGAGAGCGTTTTTATCTCTTCTTAGAAGGTCAATGAGAGTTAACTTCAGGAATGTTTAGAGAACGTTTGGGTAGGGACGCATCTGCATCTTCAAACCCTGAACCAATTCAGGAAGTTACCCTCTACGAGATTAAAAAAAAAGATACGTATATTGCGACAAACGACCTTGTTGGGCCTGATCAACAAAACTGAGAAAAAGTTACCGAATCTTAGTGCAAATACCCTGTATAACTTCATCGCGAAAGATCTTTGGGCTTTTGAACAGATTCGAACAAAATAAGAAGGCGGTAAGCTCCTTACTGGAAGGGTCAGATTACACTCAATACCTTTGATTGTGTGATCTGATCGCCTGGGTGAGTGAAGTCCTGAGAAGGACTGTTGTCGGAAGTGGTGACTGAAGTTTCGACAACCTGAGCTAAAGTAACCACCAGAGTCAAGTAAACTGTCATTGTCAGTCGAATTTAGTTAATTTTGTTTGTTAGTTTTTCCGTCGAGTCGATGGCTAAGTTATACTACCGAAGTATCCAGAAAAACTCCCTACGTAAACTAAGACTTTTTTCTAGTAAGTAATAAAACTCTACCTTCCTTTCCATCTTCCTTGACCTTTTCGGCCCAGCAATTAAGAACTTTCTTCCTTGCTTTTACGTCAAGCATGGCCTCGAAGAGATAAAAGATCATAACACTTCCACGATGCTCTTTTGGGATAAGAAGATGGTCTGACTTGAAAGAAATATCCAAAGTAAGTTCAAAGTTTGGTTTGTCAAGATCAAAATTATCGAAGGCATTCATGTAGTCTTTGTCCAAAAGCTTGGAAATGTCTACCATTTTGGACATGAAATATTTACAAAACCTGGCTTTTGCCTTCTCGTAAACTTTGACGAACTTCTTTTGGTTACTACCGATGCTTCTCAGAAATGTTCGCACCAAAGGGTGGATGTCATATGTGAGTTCTTTCACGTCAGGGTCTACCGTTAGCACTTCACTATTCCTGAGACCT